GAAAGGACTACGAGATCTAATTCAATTCTTTTTCAACTTTCCCCTTAAATCTTGTTCCTCAGGAGCTATTAGCTTGATATTCATCACTGCCTCACCCCCACCCCAAGTGTGGGATTAGCTTTTGGTCACAGTGCCCCCAACTGGGCCTTTGGTCATGCTGTTGAACTACTCTGCCTTTGAGGCTTCAGTTTCATGTCCTCAAGGACTCAAGAAACCTGCTCTCCTCCTCTGTCCCCAGTTTGCACTACATACTTCTCTCAAAGATATCCTAGGCATAGTTCTCTAGCTATATTACAGCTCTGATAACTTTGGCTTTGTGCCTTTTGCTGTATTTGAAACACTCAGTATGTCCCTACTGAAAGGTTCAGGCTTTAATGCTGATTGGCTCTACCTCTTTAAGAGAGACAGACCCCACCTCCTGACAACAGTCAGGGCACACACAGGAAAACGTGTTACGTCACCACCATGTCACCCGCCACGCATTACGGCCTGCATGAGGACTCTGGGCATGCGTGGAACCTCAGTGCGCATGCACAGTCTTCCCTTTAAAAGTTCCAACTTTCCTGCTTCGCTCGCTCTGTCTGCTTCTTCGCCCTCTCTCTCACCTACATGCTCTCTGCCTCTCTATGGCGACCGGCCATGGCGGTCAGCCATTACCCCTGTTCCTCTTCTCTCTTAGTCTCCCTACTACTCTGCCGGGCCTATAATAAACAAGTTAATATGTCTTATCTTGCTCTTCCTCTTTTTCTTTATATCTAATTTAAACAAAAACATAACACCTACATCTCCTTTATCAAAGAGTGCCTACCCATTCACCCATAAAATCACTGGCATGCAGTGAATGACAGAAGGACCTGTCTCCTAGGAAAGCCTGCAGTCGATCATCTAAATCCCAAGACTAAAACCAACCTGCCCTCTCTTGGTTTTATTTTATTTTATTTTTTGAAGTCTCTCTTATTGATTTATTTATTTTTTTATTTTGGCTTTTTCGAGACAGGGTTTCTCTGTGGCTTTGTAGACTGTCCTGGATCTAGCCCTTGTAGACCAGGCTAGTCTTGAACTCACAGAGATCCACCTGCCTCTGCCTCCCGAGTGCTGGGAATAAAGGAGTATGCCATCACTGCTTGGCTTGAAGCCTCTCTTAATCCTCCTTCCTATTTGAGGTTCGGGGGTCGGGAGTCAGGGGAGGTACCTTGAAAGTTGAGTCTGAGACTAAGTATAAAGAGTTGACAAAATGACCACAATTGATGAGAATGAAAACCTGGGTGATGGCTTTTATTTCTCACATCTCTCTCATCATGTATACTTCCTCTAGTATGTCTAGTGTTTCCTCTGCTCACTTCCTAGATCTTATGTCACAGCCAAAGATGGTAGAAGATGCTGGCTTCTGAAATAGCAGGTAGTTTCTTGGGGCCTTCCTTGAAGGTCTAAATTGGAATCCAGGCCTGTGGTTGGCTATAGTAGGTTGTCATTATTAGTTTGGATTATTATTGTTATGTATATGACCAAAAGTAGGTTATTATTGTTAAGTATACGGCCAAAAGCAAGTTGGAGAGGAAAGGATTTATTTGGCTTAAGATTCCAAAGTCTGTTACTGAAGGAAGTCAGGACAGGCACTCAAACAGGGCAGGAACCTGGAGGCAGGAGCTAATGCAGAAGCCATGGAGGGGTGCTGTTTCCTGGCTTGCCCCTCATGGCTTGCTCATCCTGCTTTTTTATAGAACTCAGAACCAACAGCCCAGGGATGGCCCCACCTACAATGGACTGGGCCCTCCCATATCAATCACTTGTTAAGGAAATGCTCTACAGGCTTGCCTACAGCCCAATCTTATGGAACTATTTTCTTAAACTAGGCTCCCTCCTCTCTGATGACTATATCTTGTGTCAAGTTGACATGAGACTAACCAGCACAGCAGGCAAGATTGAACTTCTATAAGGCATGGAGAAAACAGTGTGATCCAAAGGGTAGCAGAAATCCCATTTTATACAAGCCACCTTCAGATTTTGTCTCTAGCTCAGCCCAGTTATAGTCTCAATCTATTTAAGGAATGGAGTAGGGCAATCACAGAAAGAAAATGGAAGGAGCTCTCTGTCCAGAGTGCCTGTGGCTGTTTCAAATATGAATAGGCTTCATAATTGGGTGAGGAAAGAAGGGGGATAGGAGATGGGCATGGGAGAGAAATGGGAGCATTTACTACTGGCCAAAGCTTGCCTCTATTTTGTCTTGCCTTGGCCTGAGAGCAGAGGGAACATACACCAGAGTTAATTAGATGTGGGCTTCTGGCTCTGGCTTGTGAAAAGGATGTAGGTATGAAGTTACTGAAGCATTGTTTAGAGAAGCAAAAGGTGGGAAACAGCCTGATTTCCACTAATAGAAGGCTGTCTAATTAAATCACTATATTTTATACAATGGGACACTGTGCAGCTGTGAGAGGCAAAGAATGAGGACGCCATTTATGTGCTGGTGAGGAAGCCTTTGATGCATTTTGTCACGGGAATCGAGCAGGATCTGGAACAGTATGTATGTTATGAAGGGGAAAAGAAGAATATGTATTGTGTTAACTGGTGCACGCAAGCAGTGATGCTCAAAGGGGCTGAGGTTATGGTTCAGATGGTAGAGTGCCTGGCTGAAGCCCTGGGCTCAGTCAGTGTATAAATAAATGGTGGTGCAGGTTTATAGTGTCAGCACTTAAGGAGGTAGAGGCAGGAAGATAGGATGTTAAAGGTCTTCCTCAGCTGCAGAACAAGTAAGGCCAGCCTGGCATACATTAAAGCCTATTTCAGAAAAAAAAAGTCAAGATTATGCAATGAGGTAGAAATGGTGGTAGATACCACAGTAGGTGGGGGCAGAAGATGGAGAAAGCTGCAGATTTGGGGGTGAGTGGGGCAGAAGTCTCGTTATTGCATTTTCTACACTTCAAATTTTTGTTTTTTATTTTGTGTTTATGGGTGTTTTGCCTGCATGTATATCTGTCTTCCATGTTTACACAGCACCCAAAGAATCCAGAAGAAGGCATCAGATTATCTTGGAACTGGAGTTACTAACACTTGTAAGTTGTCTAGAGGGTACCTTGTGTGAAACCCAGGTCCTTTACAAATTTAGAAGAGTAACAAGTACTCTTAATGGCTGAACCATCTCCCCAGCACTCTCTCTCTCTCTCTCTCTCTCTCTCTCCCTCTCTTCTTTTCTTCTTTTCTCTCTTTTTTCCTCTCTCTCTCTCTCTCCTGTTTCCCCCTCTACACACACACACATGTATATACATTGAATTTTGAATAATCCTCACTCTGCTACTTTTTAACAGCGTTTCCCCCTCTACACACACACACGTATATACATTGAATTTTGAATAATCCTCACTCTGCTACTTTTTAACAGCTTACCCTGGTCAAGTTGTTTAACATACTTTAGCCTAAGTTTCGAAATCTGGGAAAATGGAGTCCTAAGCAGTGTAGGGGAGGGGGGATCCATTTCCTTTCCTTAGACAAATGCCTAGGTTCCCGCCCTGGGCAGGGTTGTGGTTCTCTGGCTCACATTTCTCCAGACATATTTGAGGAGCAACTTCTGCTGCTCCTCGGTCATGACACTCAAGACCTCACCCCACAGCTCTGAATGTTCAATGGCCTTTGATCTCTTGTGGGTAGGGCAGCTTCTAGAAACCTCCGTTTCATTTCCCTCTTGGTTGGTTTCTCCCAGCAGAGCGTGGAGATGTTAGAACACAACAGAATGTTCAGGATTGAACAAAGCCCGCCCCCAAACATGTTCATGGCCACTAGATCCTGGCCGAGGGGATCAAGGGCGGCCTCTAGTGGCCATTTCCAGACATGCTGTCTGGAGTTTGGGAGCCTTACGAATTGGGGACTTGCTCATTTTGAGTAGGCCAGAGCTATTGAGCCACAAATAACGAGTTGGCAAGACTGAGTGACATTGACCTCCGAAGCCTTTATCACAGCCATGCGCGGTTCAGATCTGTGATCTCAAAACTCGGGAAGATGGAGCAGGGGAATTTCTAGTTCAAGGCTTGAACCACAGCTATCTAGCACGACTCCTCCTCAAAAATAAACAAAACAAATTGTTTTCACTATGAGCCATGGCTGGGTCTTTAGGTAAGTACCAGAGTTCTGGGCAATATGGGTCCTGGCCAGAATCCCAGGAACTCATCATCTTGATCAATAACTGTATCCACAGTTCCTGCCCCTTCTTACCCACGCCACAAATTCTGCTCATCTTTTTTCTTTTTTCTTTTTTTTAAACCTGGATTTTCAGGAGCTGCCTGCAATTCTAAAGATTCTGCAGTGGTTGCTGAATGGGTGGTTGCATTCCTTGCAACTTGTAACTCTTCGCATAAACAGGGAAATGGTGTTTGCTGAATGAATCGAAGCAAGGCAATTTGGGTGAGTTGAGAGGGAACCCGAAGTTGAACCTGCCTCATTTGTTGCCTAAGTTATTTAAAAATATAATACAAGGCCAGGTATGGTGCATATGCTCTAATCCCAGCAGCCAGGAAGCTGGTTAGGCAGATCTCTAACTTACCCTGGTCAAGTTGTTTAACATACTTTAGCCTAAGTTTCGAAATCTGGGAAAATGGAGTCCTAAGCAGTGTAGGGGAGGGGGGATCCATTTCCTTTCCTTAGACAAATGCCTAGGTTCCCGCCCTGGGCAGGGTTGTGGTTCTCTGGCTCACATTTCTCCAGACATATTTGAGGAGCAACTTCTGCTGCTCCTCGGTCATGACACTCAAGACCTCACCCCACAGCTCTGAATGTTCAATGGCCTTTGATCTCTTGTGGGTAGGGCAGCTTCTAGAAACCTCCGTTTCATTTCCCTCTTGGTTGGTTTCTCCCAGCAGAGCGTGGAGATGTTAGAACACAACAGAATGTTCAGGATTGAACAAAGCCCGCCCCCAAACATGTTCATGGCCACTAGATCCTGGCCGAGGGGATCAAGGGCGGCCTCTAGTGGCCATTTCCAGACATGCTGTCTGGAGTTTGGGAGCCTTACGAATTGGGGACTTGCTCATTTTGAGTAGGCCAGAGCTATTGAGCCACAAATAACGAGTTGGCAAGACTGAGTGACATTGACCTCCGAAGCCTTTATCACAGCCATGCGCGGTTCAGATCTGTGATCTCAAAACTCGGGAAGATGGAGCAGGGGAATTTCTAGTTCAAGGCTTGAACCACAGCTATCTAGCACGACTCCTCCTCAAAAATAAACAAAACAAATTGTTTTCACTATGAGCCATGGCTGGGTCTTTAGGTAAGTACCAGAGTTCTGGGCAATATGGGTCCTGGCCAGAATCCCAGGAACTCATCATCTTGATCAATAACTGTATCCACAGTTCCTGCCCCTTCTTACCCACGCCACAAATTCTGCTCATCTTTTTTCTTTTTTCTTTTTTTTAAACCTGGATTTTCAGGAGCTGCCTGCAATTCTAAAGATTCTGCAGTGGTTGCTGAATGGGTGGTTGCATTCCTTGCAACTTGTAACTCTTCGCATAAACAGGGAAATGGTGTTTGCTGAATGAATCGAAGCAAGGCAATTTGGGTGAGTTGAGAGGGAACCCGAAGTTGAACCTGCCTCATTTGTTGCCTAAGTTATTTAAAAATATAATACAAGGCCAGGTATGGTGCATATGCTCTAATCCCAGCAGCCAGGAAGCTGGTTAGGCAGATCTCTAAGAGTCTGAGGCCAACTAGTTTCAGGGCAGCTGAGGCTAGTGAGATATATACTTCCTGTTTTCTTATTAAAATCTGACATTGTGAAATGCTGTGTTGGAGATGTTGACCAAATCAGTTTTTCTCATTTACTGAGAGATTAAATTCTTGCTCTGTATTTAAGAAATAATCTGAGATGGTGGTTCATGTTTGTAAACTTTGCTTGTGGGAGGTTGAGGCAGGGAGATTGCTATGAGTTCAAAGTCATCCTGGGCTACAGAGACAGACCTCATCTCTTAGGTGGTTATGTGGCTGTCAGATGTTGGGTGAGCTTCCTGTATCCCTAGATGAAGGTGAATCCCTTTGGATTGTTTAAGAGCCTATAACACAGCCTTTTACACCCCCCTCCCCTGTTTTCTCTACATATTCCGTTGCATTTCTACCTTACTTGGAGACATTGCATATTATGCTACATGGATAGCTTTGCACCTGTCTTCTGCTGTTCACTTTGAAATTTTTATCTTGCTTCTTAGAAACCCTGTCACTGAGCCTTGCAGCCATTCACACGCCTCTGAATCACTTGGAGAAATGATCTGAGTCAGTAGAGCTGAGATGCTACAGTTCTAAGGAGATGCTGGTTGGTGACAGCTCTGCTGCTCTGGGTACTTCATTTTGAGGATGAGGTCATTTGAAACCAAGGACAAAAGGGCGGCAAGAACACCCATTGCCATCAGCGAAAACCAGTCTGGCTGCTGAGGGAGGGGCAGGAGTTTTTCTGGCTGATTCTGGCCAGCTCTTGCCCTGGCCAGTTCACTTTCCCTTTTCTTGTAAATGTCTTTTGTCTTTCGTGGTTGGAGGGAAATGAAGAAAGCCAACCAAAGGCCCAGTGGAGACAGGTGTCCCGCGCGATAGTCTTGCCGGCAAGAACCACATAGGACATTCGGATCCTTCTGCAGTAAAGCTTTAATGCGTCTTGAGAGGAGAGCATAAGCTTACCAGAGCGGAGACCCCGAGCCAAGAATCCCGTCCCCTAATAAAGGCTGGCAACCGCC